TAATAATAAAAAAATAAATATAATTTTTAAAATTAAATATTAATTTAAATTAACATTTGGAGAGTTAATTTTTTTTTTTGAAATTGACGCATGACAGGACAGGAATAGAAAACATCTCCTCCCTTAAATGTTTTCTGTTCAAATATTTTATATTTATATTCAAAAACATCACCTACAAAAGTGTTTTCTTTAATCTAGTGTCACATTGAGACAAATTATTTATTTTGATAAATAATTTTTTAAAATTTTTATTTTTAAAAATTTAGAATGACAAAAAAAAAAACTTATGTTAATTTTATTAAAATGTTTAATAAGAACTTAATTTAGAATTTTTTTTGTAATTAAATATATAATTTTTTTAAAAATTAATATTTTAACTTATATAAATATTTGTTATATATAGCTAAAATTTAAAATAAATTATATATATAAATAAATATTATGTCATGCAACAAGATTTGTAACCGAAAAACTCACATAAGATTAAAGAAAGAATTTCGCATGACATATAAGAACTGTCTTTTTACCCGTACCAGGCTGCAAATAAAAGGTATTAACTCTTCCCAACCCACGACTTTCCCTCTGCAACTCTAACCTTAAGAACCATTAATACCTTTTCTTTGATTGCAACACCAGAAGTGAAGCATAGCTCTCTATTCAACTATGTGGTCCATACTTCATCCTCAAAGTGGACTCATTCAACGATGTCATCTACTTTTACAACTTAGATACCGATACTCAAGTCAGCAAATTTGTCATGATTCTCTGAAACATCTGAAATAATAGAAGTACTTATCTTTGGGAGGAAAAATCTTTTAACCCACTGGGCATGACTGGCCAAACTTTAGAAATTTTTTATGAATGGCACAAAGCCAACACAACCATCACACATAAATCACAGCATGGCCACTCGCCAGACCACCAAATGGACCAGACTTTCTCAAATGTGGATGCAATATTCTTCATTGACAGCAATAATTTTGGTTTCAAGACATGCCTTATAGACAACAAAGGACACCTTGTCAAATCTTACTCGGACCATAAGTTTTACTTGTCAAATGTAAATGAAGGAGAAGTCACTGCACTACTTGTTGTCATCAAATGGATCAGACACAAATGTTTTGACCCCATCTATTTCAAAAATGATTGGAAACAGATTACAAATGATCGAAGATACTCCTAACTCAACCGAATATGGGATCATCATAAACGAATATAGAACTCTCATAAATCAAATGTCACACTGTCAAACTGAATTTACCAAGAGACAAGAGTTAGCTTAGTAATACATAATTTTACTTTATTTTTATTTTCATGATGAGGGATGAAAAAAAAATTATATATTTTTTTTATAAGAATGTGATTTTCTTGACTCAATTATAATTTTCATTTAAACTCTTATTTTTTTTAATTGTTTTAAATTTGAAAAATATTCTTAAAAACATTAAAGTCTAAGCAAATATATTTTAAATTTTTTTAAAATAACATTTTTTTTATTATAATATATTTTAAATGACGTAAAATGCAATATTATATCTGAAACAGTGGAAAACATAAATAAAACACAAAAACTCATAAAATCTCGTGTGTATTCAACGAAGCTTTCTAACTTTTAGACCCGATTAACCAGTGAAAAAGGAGTCTTCAGTGACATGAATAAAATCATTTGTTTATTATCCAAAAGAAATTGCACAAAGGCGGACAAATTCTTTCCAAGATGTCCGTCAAAAATGACTTTTTTTTTTCTTCTTTTTCTTTTAACTAACCAATAAAACATAGAGTTTAAGACTTTTTATTTTAATATATCAATTTTTATTTTATTTTTCTGAATAACCTCACCCCATTTTATTTACCAAAATGACTCATTTACTGTTTAAGGTGAGAAATCGGTTAAGGGGAACCGATTTCTCACCTTCAGTTTCTCAAAGTTAGAAAACAATGCAGTGAGAAATCGGTTGTATGTTAACCGATTTCTCAACTGCATATTTTGTTTTTTTTTTTTTTTCGTTTTTGGTTTTTTTTTTTTTCGTTTTTGTTTTTTTTTATATTGTGTTTTTTTTTTTCGTTTTTGTTTGTTTATTTTTTTTTTCGTTTTTGCTTTTGTATTTTGTTTTTTATTTCGTTTTTGTTTTTTTTTCATTTTTGGTTCATTTTTTGTTTTTTTTTTATTTTTTTCCAGATTTTTAATTTTCTTATTTTCATATTTTAATTATAAATTTTTGAAAATTTTTAGTATTTTTTAAATAAAATAGTTTAGTTAAGTTTTTAGAATAAAAATAATTAATGAAATAATTATTAATTTTAAATTATAAAAATGTATTTAAAATTAAATTTAAAGAATAAAATTGAATAAAATTAATTTTAAATAGAATATTTAAAAAAGAAAATATTATGATAAATGACAACTTTAAATAAAAACAACATTAATTGAGATGAACAACTTGAAATAAAAACAAAATACAATAACAAAATAGGAGATCGAATAAAAAAGAACAACAACAGAATTACAATCCAGGAAATTACAATCCAACTTTAATGATGTCTATGTCCACCCGTTCCACACCTCGGAGGTTGTCGGTTCCTTGTTGGGTTTCGACGACCAATGCGTGGTTGTTGTGGTTCAACCTGGTCCTCGTCATGTTCTATATTAACAGTATCGGTAACTGGATTTGACGAACCACTTCCACCGACCTCATTGGCATGTTCTGGCGGTCCGAAACCGCCACAAATACGCAATTCTGTTTGACTTGTTTGTCATGTTTTGGCGGTTTTACACCGCCACAAAATGAATAGAAATGCAATTTTTGTCCCCGCATGCAGGCAAATAATGTGCCCTGGGATAACTTGAGGTATCAATGAGAATAAAATCTAAAGCTGGAGGAAAAAGAAGTAATTTAAAATATGTGAAGTACAATTCAACAAGGATCAGATTTAAATTCCTAATATTTAAGGGGTTAGTTAGTTAGATTAATCCCAAAATCATCATGTTATTAGCTGAAAGATCAACCAGGCTATTTTAATTTACTTTCATTTACTAATTAAGGCATAATGTTGGCCAATCACATAGTTGATATTGAAAGACCATTGTTTTGAGAAATACTCATCATCCAGCAGTGCCAACAATAACTCTAGCCTAGCACTGGTTGAGCAACTATTTGATTGCAAACACCAAGGAACAAATATATTCTTGAATATTTGTTTCCCCTACTTTATCCTCATCATATGAAAGCTGACTAGAAATGTGACTTTTGCTCTTAATAAAGACTTCTTTAACAATCATCCGTGGTCCAAATATTGAAACAGCAACTGACAGAAGTCTCACAGTATCTGGTGAATCCTGATATTTAAGAAACAAGGTGAGTCTGGAAAAATATGGTAGAAAATATCATTTCCTTTTAAAGTAATCATTTGAAATTAATATGGTTTAACAATACCAAAATCCTATGAAATTTTAGATTCTATTTTTCAACAGGATAATCAAGAACAGTGGTGACATCATAACTGACTCCCATATAAGTCACATGTAAATAATACACATACATAATCCACAACACATATACACTTATTTATCATGCAATGATGTCATAGACTCGACTGATAAATGCATGGATGTGGTGCCATAAGGAAGTTTCACATATCATCACTGGTGACCCTAAGGTACACCTGGTTACATCACTGGTGACCTTAAGGTACACATTGTTAGCATGTTACGTCGTTGGTGACCCTAAGGTACACCTTGTTAGCATGTTACATCGAGGGTGACCATAAGGTACACCTTATTAGCATGTTACATCGTGGGTGACCATAAGGTACACCTTATTAGCATGTTACATCGTGGGTGACCAGGTGATTACTTTAAAAGGAAATGATATTTTCTACCATATTTTTCCAGACTCACCTTGTTTCTTAAATATCAGGATTCACCAGATACTGTGAGACTTCTGTCAGTTGCTGTTTCAATATTTGGACCACGGATGATTGTTAAAGAAGTCTTTATTAAGAGCAAAAGTCACATTTCTAGTCAGCTTTCATATGATGAGGATAAAGTAGGGGAAACAAATATTCAAGAATATATTTGTTCCTTGGTGTTTGCAATCAAATAGTTGCCCAACCAGTGCTAGGCTAGAGTTATTGTTGGCACTGCTGGATGATGAGTATTTCTCAAAACAATGGTCTTTCAATATCAACTATGTGATTGGCCAACATTATGCCTTAATTAGTAAATGAAAGTAAATTAAAATAGCCTGGTTGATCTTTCAGCTAATAACATGATGATTTTGGGATTAATCTAACTAACTAACCCCTTAAATATTAGGAATTTAAATCTGATCCTTGTTGAATTGTACTTCACATATTTTAAATTACTTCTTTTTCCTCCAGCTTTAGATTTTATTCTCATTGATACCTCAAGTTATCCCAGGGCACATTATTTTCCTGCATGCGGGGACAAAAATTGCATTTCTATTCATTTTGTGGCGGTGTAAAACCGCCAAAACATGACAAACAAGTCAAACAGAATTGCGTATTTGTGGCGGTTTCGGACCGCCAGAACATGCCAAATGTTCACCACGATTATAAATCTTACATAGATCCGGTATACACATTACAATATGTTTCAAATGTGTATAACGAATTATTTGGTGAACTGCCTAATGAATCTTATTGGCCGGATTGTGAAGAACCGCAAATCATACCAAATCCGGAAAAGATTAGAAATAAAAAAGGTCGTCCAAAGTCATCCAGAATACGCACTGAAATGGATATGGTTGAACCAGGACAACCAAAAAGATGTTCTCTCTGTAGAAATGTAGGTCACTCAAAGAAAAAATGTCCTTACCGTCAAGGAAGTTCAAGTCATCAACCTTAAAATGTCATCAAACCTTCCAAATATTGTATTTTATTTTCTAGTATTTTATATAAATATTTTATCTATTGTTAAAATTTTTAATTAATATTTATTTCATTATATATTTAATTAATTATTTCATTATTTATTTTTATTCTACAAACTTAACTAAATTATTTTATTTGAAAATACTCAAAAAATTAAAAAAAACTGAATATTTAAAATTAATATACCAAAATAAAAAATCTAAATAAACAAAATAAAAAAAAACAAACAAACAAAAACCAAAAAGGAAAATAAATAACAAAATATAAAAACCAAAAACAAAAAAAAAACAAAAAAAAAAACAAAAAAAAATCAAAAAACAAAAAAGAAAAAAAAAATTAACAAACAAAAACGAAAAACAAAAAAAAAAACACAATATAAAAAAAAAAAACAAAAAAAAAATCAAAAACGAAAAAAAAAAAAAAACAAAATATGCAGTTGAGAATAAAAATAGCTATGCATGCAATATGTGATCGTTAGTATAAAAATAGCTTTTAAAATAATTATTATCAAAATTACAAGAATATCTATAAGGCATGCAATATGTGATCGTTAGTATATGTATTATTTTCTCAAAAACGTATGTAGTTATGCACATTTAATTTATGTCGATTCGTACAATTCTTTATCTTTGTTTCCCAACAATTCCTTATTAAATAGCAAAAAGACCAAAATCAATCTTTATATGATATACTAGACACATCAATTTTCCAACGGTTATAAGAGACACCATTATTAAAATAAAAAAAACTTGATATATAAGTTTATATTTACCACTTCAGCCATATACAAAACATATAAAAGCTTAATTTACTGCATACAGAACAAAATAAAGATCTGCAAAAGCAAAAGAATAAAACCTTAAATTGACGAGCATATTCAAAATAATTCGTTCCTTGAACATGAAAACTTTGGAAGCTTATTCTTCTCTTTTTTCATCAACCGCATGCACTATTCACTAATCTCGTCTTCTTTAGTCTATCATTTAATAAATAAATAAAAAGTGCGATTCCCCGTTTAGAGTTCCAAGTTCCAACCGCTATGACACAAACCTATGATACCTATCAAGAACATCTAGCTTCTCCAACCGACAATTCCATAAACGAAATCGTAACATTAATCGACGAATCCACTGAAAACTTCATAACATATCATGTTAAGAATATTCTGATTACATTTACTCACAAAATGAAAAAAAGAAAACTTTTGCTAATACATGTAAGATGGTTCCAACTTCCAACTAATTGATTTCATAAAAAGCTTTCTAGGTATGATGTGAGGGTGTAATGATCTTGATAACGAGGCCAGGGAAGACATCATCAGGGTCATGGATATGAGGGTTGTTGTCAACAATAAAAGGGTCACCACACTTGTCACTAATTGTGTGAAGTGTCTCACCTTCTCCAACAACATAGATCTCATCGCACGGTCGAGACAAGAGTTGTTGGCTGTCTACGAAGTGATGCATGGAGCTGTCTCTGGAGATGCTTAGGAGCACGAGTGCCACAAGGACAAAGGCACAGTACCATGAAGCTGCATCAGCTATGGCCTTTGAACTTAGGACTAGTCCCTTTCTTTGGGTTGAAGCCATGAGAGAGAGAGAGAGAGAATGGTTGAGAACTTAGAAGAGAGGTTGATTGGAAGTTATTATAAAGAAAAGGTTGGGGCGTCATGGGTGTGAAGAAAAGGGTCAGTTCTGGCGGTTATTTAGAGGCACAAAAAAGGGGGCAAGGTGGTGTTACGTGCATTCGTTCGATCACCTTATCTTTTGGGCTAAACAACCTTTCTTGGTCCGTTTTCTCTTTATAATATATATATATTCTCATCAAAACCATTGGAATTATCATATGTGTTGCCAAATTTGCTTCACAGAATGGGAAATCTAAATTATATAAATATAGTATCTTGTTAACGGCTTTTCTTTGTCCATTTTTTTTATCCCTCATGCATTCTTAAAAAAATTAAACCGCTCAATGGCTCATATATATCCGATAATTTTAAAAGATGACTCGAAACAAACACACCGTTATAAAATCTAAAGAAGAGAAAATTGAAACTAAATAATAAAAACAGATATTAAGAAAGGGAGGTAAGAAGAGAATGTCATTTCATGTCATCTTTCATTGTTCCCTATTTTTTTTTTTTTTTTTAAGAAATTGATTATATATAACGACAATGTAAAACAATCTTATATTATCACTCAGTATAACAAATTTATTAACTTTTATGATAATTATTTAATTATCTTAAAAACTATATTAATGATAATTTTTAATAGTTGATACTAGCTATAAAGTTGTCATTGAACTAAAAAAATAGTAATAAGAGTTTTTAAAATAAATAAGTGGTTTTTTAAAAATCAAACTTTTTTAAACATGAACTTTCATTTACCGGCAGGTGTTGTAGTTGGGTCAATGGCTGAGAAATCTTATATGTAGGATCAAAAGAAAAGAAAAAAAAAATGAGAATGATGAACTTGTTGAAAATTCAATGGAGGCAGGATTTGGATTGGTTGTGTTGGTTTAGGGACTAATGATTACACAAACCGCGGTCATGCATGGGTCGGCTATTGACTAATTTATGCCTATGGGGTCATAATTTGAGCCACCAAAGAAGAAACATGCAAACTTTTATTGACAAAATTGTTACATGTATAGAAAGTGATAGGGACGATTTAGAAAAATTGGCAAACATCCTGAGCATTTTTAATATTTTTAATTTAGATAAAATTTAGACTATAAATTAAAAAACACTTAAAACAAGAAATATCTAAAATTATAAAATATATAATGTTTAATTAAATATATAATCTAAAAATAAAAATAATGAAGATAAACATTGTTTTTGTTTAATAAAGTGTTATAACTCTTTTTCATCATATTAACCCTGGTAAAATAAAACGATATATCCAATAATAACTTTATACTCAAGTCAAAATCGAATTTTCAGTTGTTAGTTAATGAATATAAATGTTTGTGATATCGAATTTTAGTAGATAAATATTTATTTAAAAAGTAAATTTAATATTCAAAGATGAGAAAATAAAGTATGATATTCCTAAAGAGTAGATGAAAAATTAAATGAAAGTACACTAACTAATTATGTACATTATTTATTTACTTTTTTAGTGTTTTTTAATTTATAATTTTTTAATTTCGTTAAAAGTTAAGATACTCGCAAATATAAATGCTATTTTCTCATGAATTAAGAGCTCTTTGAAATATTATTCTTAAAATGTCCTTGTAATTGTCATAGTGTGTTCACTCAGAATTTAAAACCATGAGATCCTAGAAAAAATTCTCAATAAAGACAATTTCATGCTTTAACAACAACCTTATTTAGAGGGGCAAATGTATTATTGAGACATTTCTTTCTAAATTTTATAGTGAACAACCACTTAATAGTCCAATATATATAGTACTTAGTGGTATTGTTTTTTTTTGTTCGTTCCTGGAGTATCCACCGTCGATAGTAGTGGCTAATCTCCTCGCTACGACTTAGCGGTTCTATGTGTACTCATAACAAATAACATTCTGAATATGGAGGAAATGATATTCCAAATATTAAAAGAAGTCTGCAAATCTGCAATAATATAATTTTTTAATTACATCGGTAATATTTAGGACACATTTTTATTCTAAAAAACATACAATAATGAACAAAATGCAAAAGAAAGGGGGGAAATAGAAATTAAACTTTTTATTTGATATATACTTGAATTTAAAATGAATGTACAACTAGATAAATTTATCTTAAGATTTGTCTCTGAACTTTTATTTTTATGTTCCGAATGTTTTGATGAAGTTTACCATCGGAGCATAAGGATGATGGATAGATGATTATTACAAGATTAAGTAAAGTGCCATGGAGTCTGATATACAAATGACATGAATGAATCTAATTAATTATGTATTGATGTTAGTAAAGAACCCACATGAACTATAGAGTAATAGAGTCCAAAAAAGTCATTGACATGATGAGTTGCATAAGAGGACTTAGAAACCAAAACATATCTATATAAAAATATTTAAATACTATTATATAAAAGAGATCCACCTTTTATAATAATTTTTTATTTTTATTTTTACGTGAATTATTTTATTCTTTATTTATTTTTTACAACTTCTTAAGACTTTTTTTTATATTGTTATTCTAAAATTACGCATGAGTAACTTTCTTGTTTAATTTATTTTGAAACTATATTCCTAAATAACTACTCATAAAAAGGATTTTTTTGTGTGTGGTTTTAATACAATATAGATATTGTGTTTTTTTTTTCTCATGCTAATATGTACTATTACTAAAAGGGATATTTTTTGGTGTACACAAATTTTAGTAGAGATGATTGTAGATTCTATCCAATCTAATGAATCTAATCCAATCCGGAGTGAATTAGTTTAGATTTTAAAACTGGTAATGCAATCAATTTGGTTCGGATATCCTATTTATCCTTTGATTTAATACCTACTTAATTTGTGTGCTTCAGTAGGGTGATTGTGTTCAAGTTTTATGAGTTTCCTAACAATATCACTTCGATTTAATACTTCAAGAGCTTCCTCTACTGCTCTGACATAATAAAATCAACAAATGTATGGTGTCTCTTTAGGTGTTTCTCTGCTTTGCAATTTATATACCAAAAAATCAGAACTACTTTAACAAATAAATAAAAATTTAGAAGAGAGTAAAAAAATGCATTCAAGATAACATACTGAACCCTACAAGGTTCCTCGAAAGTGAAACAAGCAGAATAAAGGTGAATAACACAAAGACAGGATCAGGAATAATCAATCAAACACTGACTAATGCCGCAAAAATCAAACCTTAGAAATTGATACATGAATATTGAGTTTTTTAATAGCTGAATATAATAGATACCGAAATAAATTAAATAACGATGAATTTTGATGGTCGTTAAAACACACATGGCAGTGTAAGCAGCTTGAGTTAAAATCAATAAGCCACTACAAAAAAATGTGTGATTTGTGGCGGTTATTTTGGCAGTTTCTGGCGGTTAAAAACCGCCACAAATTGTATTACCGGCGTCATTAACAACCGCCGGATCCACGGTCGCAAAAACCGTTTGTGGCGTACATTTTGTAAACGCTGGTTTTGAGCGCTAGAAAATTCAATCTCTTTGTGTGGCGGCCAACCCCGCCACAAAATGCTTTTTTTTTTACTTGTTTGGCATGTTCTGGCGGTCCGAAACCGCCACAAATACGCAATTCTGTTTGACTTGTTTGTCATGTTTTGGCGGTTTTACACCGCCACAAAATGAATAGAAATGCAATTTTTGTCCCCGCATGCAGGCAAATAATGTGCCCTGGGATAACTTGAGGTATCAATGAGAATAAAATCTAAAGCTGGAGGAAAAAGAAGTAATTTAAAATATGTGAAGTACAATTCAACAAGGATCAGATTTAAATTCCTAATAATTAAGGGGTTAGTTAGTTAGATTAATCCCAAAATCATCATGTTATTAGCTGAAAGATCAACCAGGCTATTTTAATTTACTTTCATTTACTAATTAAGGCATAATGTTGGCCAATCACATAGTTGATATTGAAAGACCATTGTTTTGAGAAATACTCATCATCCAGCAGTGCCAACAATAACTCTAGCCTAGCACTGGTTGAGCAACTATTTGATTGCAAACACCAAGGAACAAATATATTCTTGAATATTTGTTTCCCCTACTTTATCCTCATCATATGAAAGCTGACTAGAAATGTGACTTTTGCTCTTAATAAAGACTTCTTTAACAATCATCCGTGGTCCAAATATTGAAACAGCAACTGACAGAAGTCTCACAGTATCTGGTGAATCCTGATATTTAAGAAACAAGGTGAGTCTGGAAAAATATGGTAGAAAATATCATTTCCTTTTAAAGTAATCATTTGAAATTAATATGGTTTAACAATACCAAAATCCTATGAAATTTTAGATTCTATTTTTCAACAGGATAATCAAGAACAGTGGTGACATCATAACTGACTCCCATATATTGCTGTTTCACTTATTTATATTTTAATTGTTCATAGAATCAATCTTTTTGATGACCCAAAAAATATAATCTATTTTGTTTACCACTTGTGTCTAGATTTTAAAAATAACTTCTGTTCAAAATACCTAAAAAATATCTACAAAGTTTAGCATGTTACATCGTGGGTGACCATAAGGTACACCTTATTAGCATGTTACATCGTGGGTGACCATAAGGTACACCTTATTAGCATGTTAAATCGTGGGTATGCGGCCTCAGCGGCACACCTAGAGTAATATATGCATATGATGCATGTCATACATTCATAATCTCATTGACTCAACATTTAACTTATTACATAATTTTATTTAGTACATCATGTCATTATTCTTCATATTCTCATAATCATAACTTGTCTCAATAGTCCATTCTTAGGTCTCATGTCATTTGTCCATATTTCACATCGTCATGTCATAAATACTCCTCATAAGGTCCGCATAGGAATTTACAGAGATCCACAGAAAGCATTCTTATTCATATAAAAACTCATTTATTTTTAACATTAATTTCATATTCATTATTACTTCCAACAAGGAACAAAGTAGAGCAACAAAAAGTAAAACAGAATAACAAGCAAGGGATTGAGGACCAATCCGACAATCAAACTATCCAACAATTATCCCCACACCCCCGAGCGAGGTTTCTCACTCTCCTCCTTACCTGGATAAGCAGAGCTAAAACTTGGTAGTAATATCATTCTTGTTGTCGTTATCCGTGATAAAATT